TAATTTCGTCTCTAATTAAACAAATAAATAAAAGAATTGGAATCCCGAAAATATCCTTAGACCATCCGATCCGGAATTAGAAGTGACAACCGAGCGGCGAAAGAGCACCGAAGCGGCGGCGGAGAAAGCAATGGCGTCCGGGTGGGGAATAACGGGGAACAAAGGAAGATGCTACGATTTCTGGATGGATTTCAGTGAATGTATGTCTCGTTGTAGAGAACCCAAGGATTGCGCTCTTCTCAGAGAAGACTATTTCGAGTGTCTCCACCACTCTAAAGAGGTCTCCTTTTCTCCGATCCTTGTTTTTTTCCTTCGTTTTCTGCGATCTGTTTTGCTTTGTTTCAGTGTTTATGCAAGGTTTTGGTTGTAATTTTTGCGATTCCTGAAATGATTAGTTTAACTAGGGTTCTTTTTGGTGGGATTTTGTGTATCAAACTGAAGAAGTTAATTGGAGCTTCGAGATTATATTGGTTGGAGGTCTTATGGACGATAAATTGCTGAAAATGTTTTAGGGAGCTGGCATAGGGGATTAGAAGTAAAAAAAGAAACTAGTTCTACATTTCTTCGCTGTCTACTGGATTTCTGTCGTATATTGAGCGAAGCGGTTGGTTTCAGTAACTCAATAGGTTCTCGGAAAAAGTCAATGGATGAAAAGAAGCTAAAGAGAGGTGATGAAGGAGATATTTTGAGAATAAGGGAACTGTGGGCAAACCCCGTTTCTTGATGCAACAAGCTTAGTGCACACTTATGTGATCTGTTCATGTAAAGGAAAGTACCTGAAATGATATGAAATGTACTATAGTTGGTGTGCCAGATACTAAAAGAAGTAAGATTAGCTAGCTATAGGTCATCTGATCTCAAAAGAAATGAAAAGCGGTTGGCTGGGATGTGAAGTTGCACTCGAGATGTTTCATAACATGGGCACGCATAAAATGCACTGACAGGATCTGGAGGTTTAACATGAAAGTGTAGGGTTGTTAATATCTGATTGTGCTCAGTTTTATCTTGAGAATACTTTTTGGGAGTCCTCTTAGTCCTTTACTGTCCTTGGAAATTTGTACTTCATTCCAACGTTGTTCAAAATGATCTTCTCTTAGGTGCCTTACAAGAAGCTGAAGGGTTGTCTTGTGTTTGATAGGCATTCAACTACAACAGGGATGTATAGCCAACTGCCATTTCTATTATTTTCTCTTTTTATAGCCAATGCAATCCTTGACTGTCACATAGGATGTGATAACAGCAATAGATAGATGTGTGTGTTACATGTACTTAAAAATCTGAAATGTAACTAAATTTAGCCATAAAGATCATTCTGTTGTTAGAGTTGCAGAACATTGAACGTTTTATTTTGCTAGAGGACATTTTTATTTAACTTGAAATAGGTCCAACACTCTTGTGAAAGGTAATGATTATGAAAATTTTAATTTTAAGGGGGCAATGTTGTTATAAAAGGGAGTCACTTTAGCTTTGGGAGGGGATTTTTTTTTTTTTTTTTTTTTTGGGGTGGGGGGTGGGGGGGGAGAGCAAGTATGATGTAATTGAAAGAATTTCCAAATTTTCTGAACCTACATTGTGATTTTATCAAAGTTGAGTCGGGGGTTTTTGGTGGGGAAGGTAATTGCGCAGGCTCAACAGTATCTGGTTCTGGCACTGGTTCTAACCATCTTTTTTTTGCTTAAGTAAATAATATTGCTTTTGCTGCAGTTTCAACGTAGAAACAGAATCTACAAGGAGGAGCAGAGACAGCTAAGAGCAGCTACGCAGAAAGGTGAGGATGGTGGACATGGTGGAAGTCATCACTGATAAATGTATTTTGAGAGGGTGGGCGGTAAATGTTCGACTACTGAATCTTTTGAAATAATTGCCAAATCAGTTGTATTTTTCTTGTCAGCGATGGAAACAAAACATTTTGTATTTGTCAATTGTCTTTGTTTCTTGCAAGACACAACAAATTTCCTTGCAGAGGAAGATACATAGTTATTTCTTTGGTTTATGGATGAGTGCTGATAAAATAACCATAGACACATAAACTACTTATGTTGAATTTCAGAAGGTTTCACCTGGGTAGCTTTACTTTCAGCAATCGCAACCTGTGAGGTAGAGAATTCTTTTGCTTTTTTAGGATACAAGATATGTATTGGCTCCATAACCAATCATGGAAGCTTATCGTGTCCAGTCTGGTGATCTAGATGCTATAGCATTTCAAAGAGAGCTTATTATTGATGTTAGAAGTTTGAAGCGAATGAGAATCAAGTCATTATTCCTGACCAGTAATACAATGGATGTGCACCGAATTGAGTTATGAGATTGGTTGTCTGCCAATCTGCATAGCAAAGCTTATCAGGATGCGCGGGATGTAGTGCTCTCTGTTAGGCGTTTCACATTCTTGCTAAGTTAATTAGTGTGCTAATATTACAGAAACTGACTGAGTGGTAATATTTCATGGATGGTTCCTAGCTGATAATTTTTATACTCAGAAAAATGACTCTGGGAAGTGATGGGTTAGCATTGTGAGCCATGAGAAATGGAGTGAACTAGGAATGCTCGCATTGCAGCCCCTGATCTATATACTAAAGTCGTAACCCTATCTCGTGATTTGACCTACCTTCGGTTCAGTGTGGAGAAGTTTCAGTTGCTTGTTTACCCTCTGGGTGATGAAGTCTTGAGAACGGACTTGTGCTTCAAAGTAGCAACTCTGGCAGAAGCACTTCCACTCCTAAGGATCTTCGTTGAACAGCCAAATTAACAGTTTATATGGGCCTTACGGCCAGTGCAGCAACTTGCAAGTAATTCTTAAGCATTTTCTTCTGCTGCATCTTGATGAACTCAGGCAACTTTCAATGCTAATGAAACCTTGAAAAAAAATGTTATGGAAACCTTTGTCTTTCTTTTGGAATGTTGCTTAGAGAAACATATCTCCAACAATTATGCACTCTCCAAATGCATTTCATCTTGGGAGGCTCTTTGATTCGTGCCCAGGAAACCCTGTTGCCAACTTATACCCATGACAAAACTATGGTTCGCCAAAAAGGCTCAGTTAGAGTTTCAGGCAATATATTCTTACTCTCAGTCTGGTCAGCTAGAAGAACAAGTGTCTTCAAATTCTCGTACCGTAAGCCACTAATCAGTACTTCATCAGGAATCCAATTTCCTCACAAAAGGAAACTCAAGCGGATGCCTGGCGAGTTGGCGTCCAGTTTATTGTATTACTACATGACAAGGTTGATGGGTTATCAAGGCTGAATAATTGATTCCAGGACAAGCTTTCCTTCCCACCCCAAATGGCTACAAATCAAAACTCCTTTCCTCTTCACAGAATTCATGCAGCATTGATGAAGAAGCTTGTTTTTTTGGCTGGAATTCATAGCATCCAGTTTTGTAGCTCTCTTGCTTCTCTCTAGGGAGTAGGAGCCAGTAATGCAGCTGCCGAGTGCAGCCTTGTTTGACTCTTTTTTATCACCAGCTTAAATACCAGAATTGTGAAAGTTCAGTTTCTTCCAACTACGAAGTTTTCCCATACGAAGTTTTCTTATACTTTAGTATAGTTGAGATATGTTTATGTAGATTTTCAATCTTAAAATATGTGCCCGTGGATTCGCATCATATGATAATCCAGATGAGAGAAACACCGTGTGGGATGAGGCAACATTCATTCTAAGATTGCACAGACTTCTAATGCATAGAATCTTTGTAAATGTGCTTCAGGGATCTTTCAAGGAGGACATGAAGGAAACTTTGTATACGTAACACCAGAACACCTTTTACATTTTCATCATTGCTGATTGTTGATTGACTTGGATCTTCCTGAATACGAAGCAATACCTCAACAAAATCTTCATATTCAGGCTCAGAAATCTCGGGATCAAGATACTCCTTTATTACTCCGTTGAGGAAGCTAACGAGTTCCCTAAAAGTTCTTCTCTGGCCTCTCGTAAAACCACTTTAACCATGCCATCCATCCATAGAAAGAAATCAGCAATGTCTACTCCATTAAGCAAGTCTTCTTTATCATATTTATGTTCCCCAGCGCGTGATGAAAGCTCGCATTCTTTAAGGTATTTAACCATATCATCAGATTATACTGTTTTCGTAGTTACCATGAAAAGTATCATCACATCAAGCAAAGGTTTCATGGGTAAAAATTTTCTTAGATTTCGATGAACAAATATGCATAGATGCTACATTCTATGTTCTTGTTGAAATTCAATGGTCTGATGGAGAGTCGATGGCTCATGGCACATATTTCTTGTTGAAGTTCTAGCAGCAGTATTTCTTCTTTGCTTTTAAATACCATTTGGGAGATTGGCCAACTGCGGCTGCTCTTGCCATGGCAACAGCCAGACCATGCTTCCCTGTTCTTCTGTTGCTTTGTTATTCAGGATATAGCGTGAAACTGGAGCTATGCTTTCCCCATTTCTTTGATTTCAATTCGAACGTTGGCTTTTGTCTTCAAAATTTATACAGAAGATTTCTTTCTCATGGATGTTTCATTAGTCTTCAACCACCGAATTTAGTTGCCTCGTACCATTAGTTAAAGAAAGAAACGAAAAGGATTCTCAGCTACTTCGAAATATAACCCATATTGACTGTTGAAAGATATACTCCTATCATCTTTTGAACTGTAATCTTGTTGCATGACGCTTACACCTCTGGCTCCTCTTTTTGCTCACTGGGATGTCTAAAATTCAAAATGGCCGTCCATAATATGCTTCTAAAAAACCAATTACCTCTACAGTAGTTAGCCACCACGTGTCTTTGTGAGGTGGGAGGTCAAGGGTTCAAACATTGTCTCCCATCAAAAGTTGCCACTTAATGTGGCTTCTCTTAGATCCATATGAGTGCCTCTCGCATCCATATGGTCTAATGGTGGTTTAATTCCCATCGATTCCTCGTGACTTTGTTGGGTCACCCCTTTAGTATAGGTTAAAATATGAGTAGAAGTAGGTGTAGATGATGACAGTAGATCAAAAAAAAAAAATGCTTCTAAAAGCATGTCAGAGTAAAAGCACAATCAGGAGCTACTTTAGAGCACCAAACAATGAATAGCATGAATCTCCATGGATATCTGGACAATGGACGTCTTTTTACATGTTGAGTAATTGTTCTTAGAAGTTGCCACCAAAATTTTTGAAACTCATGTACACCCCAGAGAGGAAAACGACTGTACTCTACAGAAAAAGCCGCAACAACAAATTCTACCTCATCTTTTTCTAATTATCCATGTAACAAAAAGTGGAAAAGAAAGAAGGTGACACTTGGTGGCTCTCCTACTTCACTTTGTTGGATACCTTGATGTAATTCAGGAGCCTACTTAGGGCCTTGCCACTGTCGATAGCCTCTCTAGCTCTATCCAAAGCTCTCGATATATCTTCTGCACCATCACAACCAAGCAAGTGATCGATCATTCCAGCATTGAGGACAATTCGATCATATGCAGGACCTTTCTCACCACCCAGAGCTGCTAACCCCAATTCCAGGTTCCTCGAGACCTATAATGATTAGGAAAAGAAAGGGGCCCATTAATGATCATCAGCTCTTAGGGAGTAGGATTGTATAAGAATGCATACTAACATTTTCTACAAAAACCAAAAGCCGCACTTTCAAGAACTAGCTAACACACAGAAGATACAAGTTGAATGAGGGAAACTAACATAAAACCGAACAAAAGCTTGTAATAAAGCTATTGACTACAAGAATTAGACTAGCTATTTAACTCCCAACACATGCCTAACATAAATCATGTAGGACAGAAGTAAGCAGGATGTACATAGCAAACAAAATCTATGACAATATCTTAGCTTTCAAATGCCTGATATACTCAGGTCATGGTGTACAGTTTGGCAAGGCACTATCTGCAGTGTGTTTAAACTATTGCATGAACTTGAAGAACTTGGAAGCGGCATCATGATCACTGAAATTGCAGTGTCCTGGAGAATGGTTATTTCAGTATAACCAATTTCTAAGAACATCAAGTAAATTATTTTTTCTACCTAGCATCACATATCATAGCAACACTGCAGGAATAGAAACAAGCATGTAAAATTGGACAAGCATAAAAAGTTAACAAGAGAGTCTAAAACAACGTTACCGATCTATCAGTCCTTGGAGTATCACTAGGCTCAAATCCGAGGTCCCTGGCATTCACCTCCATGGTAAAAGTTTCACGAGACACACCTACAGTAATGCATATTTCAGTTTTGGCCTGTGAAGGTATACCACTGTCCATTTTCTAGCTGCTACCAAAACATTCTGTTAATAACTTTTTTTTTTTTTAATAACGTAATTCATTAAGCTTCAGAACGAACAAAGCAGAGTAAGACATAAAAATGAGATGTATACCATACCATCCAGTGCACCAGCAGATACCACATTCAAAGAGCGAAAGCCTGAACAGTAATTAACAGGTAGCCCCTTTGATGCATGAATTGATCTTGATTTTGTTGTCATTGAAAGAGCCCCTTCCTCACCCTGAAATTTATTTAAGTGAATAAAAATAACAATGTCTACAATGGAACACCTAAAGCTTCTGTATTAGCTTATTAATGAAGTTTAGCGGGCAACAAACTCGTACATTTTAAAAAATTCATACGTTGGAAAATCTACAGAATAGTAAACACTTGTGTGCTTAAAGCTTCTATTCAGATCAATTAATGTTACTGGAAAAAGAAAAAAAGGGTTCATATATGAGTATACAGATATACAACTCAACATAGTGGATATTTCAGAGGAAAATTTAGAGATCCAAAACTATGATATGATGAACATTTCCAGTACATAACCATAAAGCATACATACTGCAGAAGAATAAACATTATCCTCAAGTTTTACTTTGCTGAAAGAGTAAACCACTATGGAATCTAATGGCATACCTTAACCACCAAACCAGATTGGACACCTCTTCTTCTCATAAGCATTAGTAGTGGCTCCTCATAGCCATCATGATAAAATCCGGCAACAATTGCTTCTCTTCCCCTAGCCTAATGTGCAGGCCCAAGAGAGGAAAAAAAGGAAAAAAGGGAGGCAAAGAAAAGAAAAAAGGGACAGTGGGTTACCACATTCTCAACCAATTCTAGTAGTTTGGCTCTTGATATACCAATAATAAAATAAGAACCACATGCACAATGGCGGGCAAGAATCTCTGGTCTATTACTCAACAACTACTTCATTTATTTACACGGGTCATATTCAGGTTTTATCATTTGACTTGCTTGATTTTCCCATAGCTTTCTTTGTTCTTTAACTAAATCACCAACTTTCAAATTTGTACAATTTCTTTGTCAAATCATTAATCCCATGTCAAAGAAGCTATGTGATGCCACCTATGTTGACGGCAAATAACTTTTTACTCTAAATTTAGCGGGTACAAGACATCTCTCTACATGTTTATAACCTCATATGGATTCGTCCCATGAAATAACAACACAGTATCCATATTCTGCACAAGATATGTTCTAAGACGGCCAATTTGCAGGAACTTCAGCAGAAAAAGACATTTACTTCCCTAAATATTAAACAAGGTAATGCCTTGTGCAAAATAAATCGCGTGAAGGTAGAACAGTGTTTAAGCTTCAATATGTGCACATGAAATATATTATGCAACGCACAGTTTGATATGAATTTCAGTAATCTGAAAAATTCAGAAGTTGTAGGGCAAGACTACTACATCGGAAGGACCAAAACATTATATATATATATATATATATAAATCAAGCAAATGACCAAGGGATAAAATAAACTTTTGCCCTTCAGCTTACAAGGAGGAAGAAAGAAAAAGAAATTTGTTTGCCCTTCATAGACATTCAAAAAAATGTTGGGTGAGACATGAAATAAAGGCAATCCGAATTTACCCTAACAATTTGCTGAATCTTTTCAGATGTTGCCAGTGGCGGCCGTTTCTTTATATGTTCCCGAAATCCTACCAATGAATATCTGCACAAAAGCATACGCCATTAGATGCAGCGCCTCAGAATGAGCTAGACGACATAGTACTAATCACTAAGGAATTATCGGGGGTGGGAGGGGAGCAATCTCATTAGGAAGATGACATGGTACTAATAAATAAGCAAATCTACAAAATTAGTGGTCCTAGATGGATGAGCAAAACATATCCCGTCTTTAGATATAGAGAAACAGGAGTACTCTAAGAGAAGAAATTTAGAAGATGAGGGATGAGAAGACTAAAGACAGAACGCTTTTCATGCTTTCCCATTACAAATTTAGCATCATGAGACATAACTAACAACTTCTAGGAAAATTCTTCAGGAGATTGTCAGCTCAAATCTGTCGAATGACCCTAGGCTTCAAGGCCAGAAAAGTGGCTGCTCACACCAATACTGAAAAATATCGCAATCACAGTGGAAAATAATTTGGCAAGTCACCGAAAGATTAAATAAAGGAGAAAAAGCAATAGAGGTAATGATACCCCTTTAGATGGAGATGGAAGCTTAGGCTGTTAGCCTCCACATACAGGTTCTATACTCTTATGGTACTGTCTACTGCATTATTTGAAAAACCTGCTTTCAGAAACCTCATATGTAATGGACTTGTTTTGGCTGAAGATGGAAAAAAGATGAGCAAAAGACTGAAGAACTATCCTCCTCCAGGAGAAGTAATTGATGAATTTGGTGCTGTAAGTATTTTTACATGCTCCTTATTTCATTTTTACCACTGATAGCTACTATTTTTTTGCTGACTCATGCATTCTACTTTATGATTTTGTTTAACTACATGACCCTGGGCTCAGCAAGTGGTTGACTTGTACTACCTCTTCCATTTTTTTGCAGGATGCTTTGCGATTGTACATTATTAACTCTCCAGTTGTTCGTGCTGAGCCTTTGCGTTTTAAAAAAGATGGAGTATATGGTGTGGTTAGTATTGTTTTAGGATTTTTTTTGGTTCGAATTGATTAATGTTACTTTCTTTTAGATTTCACTGGTTCATAACATTCTTTTTGTCAAAGGTTTTGAGATATTCTTCATCTCTTTATAAACACGAACCACTAAAATGTTTTTTTCTTTATGCAGGTTAAAGATGTCTTTTTGCCATGGTATAATGCTTACAGATTCCTTGTACAAAATGCAAAAAGGCTTGAGGTTGAGGGTCTTGCACCATTTGCTCCAATGGATCAATGTACTCTCCAGAATTCTTCTAATGTTCTCGATCAGTGGATCAACTCGGCAACTCTGAGTTTGGTACATTTTGTTCGGAAAGAAATGGGTGCTTATAGACTGTATACGGTAAGTTTCATTTAGGGAAAAATGGATATGAATAGGGAATTATATGACATCACTGACAATTATTCTAGATTCATGATGAATTTCCTGAAAGAAATGCCTGATGAGGTATGGGAAATCCATTTGCTTCCCTAGAAATACAAGCATCATTGTTGATGGCATCTGCCATTTGGTAGTAATTATCAGTTGTTTAACCTAGTTAACTCTTAAATTTATTAAGTTAGGTCTTAAGAACTTGATTTTGAATTACGATGTTATTGTGCAGTTGACTCAAGAAGTCATGTGAATGGCTTGCTTAGTTTTTAAAATCCACGAGCCTGGCATGCTAAACACATACTGGATGGCATCAGTTACACTAGCCAGTGATGCAATTAGTTCATCCAGTGGTACTTGGGACTTGGTTAAATCATAAATCCAATAAGATGTTCCATGTTTGAAGTGTATTAACCTTCATTCCTTCTAACTCTTCTGAAGTAGCATACCTTAGTTTTCCACATTTTATGAAAGCAGTGTGCACGATTCTTGGTCTCATACCCGATTCTGGAACGAGGAATTAGGTCAGTATGGGGATTTGAAATTGTGTGTAGTTCAAGGATGGAGAAGGGCAGTGTGGGAAATGAGGAAGGGAAGTAATTTTTCACTTTGGTGAAGGATGTCATATACATTGATTCTTGGGGCCATTTTTCCTGCGTCTGAAGCAATATACGAGTCTCCATTTTCTCTAGCATGGGACGTTTTCTCTATACTGCAATTGACATTTTCAAACATCAAGTTGGTTCCCCACTACCGGCTGCCTCCCGGCCAGGGAGTATGGTGTTTTGCAAGGGGGCAGTTACATGAGTGCTTTGTCAGTCAAGTACTTGTAATTGAAGTTTGTTATATGCTTGAAATAGTCAATTAAGTCTTGCAACTTCCTGGGTTAAAGAAGAAAACTAAGTAACTTACAGTTACTTAACAAAATTTTGCTTTGTTTGCTGATTTTATTGCATTTGCACATGTAATGTTATTTTAGATCAATCCATGTGACTATATATGGTTTCCATCATATTTTCTTCTTTAGGTTGTTCCTGAACTCCTGAAATTTCTGGATAACCTGACAAACATCTATGTGCGGTTCAATCGGAAGAGACTGAAAGGTCGTACAGGTGAATTGGATTGCAGAGTTGCATTATCAACTCTTTACCATGTAAGCTGGCATTACTTTTGTGGGTTCCTAGGTTACAATGGATTATTATCTGTGAAGATTCTGAGTTTTTTACTAATAGCAACATGTAGTTTCTTTTTTGCGACTTATAATCTCAGTGGGATTATTTGTTCTTACAGATTATGCCCCTGATGAAATCTTTATAGTGTGTAAAAGATCAGTCCTGCTAATGGATGATCTGGTTATCTATTTCAGTGTGTTTTATGATATAAATTTCCATAGTTTAAATTTCACATCTGTAATTTTGCTAAAAGAGTATTCAAATCATTATCAGTTGCGTCTGAACATTTCCCATTTTTTCAACTGCTATTTGCTGCTAAATCTTTGTCATATTGCTACTTTGGTTGTAACAGGTTCTGCTAACTTCATGTAAGGCAATGGCTCCATTTACACCATTTTTCACGGAGGTTCTTTATCAGAATATGCGAAAAGTTTGCAATGGATCAGAAGAAAGCATTCATTATTGTAGTTTTCCAGAGGTTGAAGGGGAGGTAACCCTGATTTTTGTGTGAAGGATGTCTATTCATTATGTTATTATCAGGTTTTGAAAACAAAATTGTCTCTTGTTAAAATTTGTACTTGCTATGATATCAGGGAGGAGAACGCATTGAAAAAAGTGTTAGCAGGATGATGACTATCATTGATCTTGCACGCAACATTCGTGAACGTCATAACAAACCTCTCAAGACACCATTCAGGTCGTGCCTTTTGATTGCATCTGTTTTTAGATATTGTTTCACGATTAAGTTTGCTTCCTTGAACATTCCCGCTCCAACTCTTCTGAACCAAATCTCCAGCAGAATAAGAGTAATTTAAAGAAATTTTTTGCTTCTTAGAATACACAATCTATTGTATCGCCACACATACGCACATACTTATGTTGATCTTTCGTAATTGTATCTCCAATTCAGGGAGATGGTGGTGGTGCACCCTGATGCAGAGTTCCTTGGTGACATTGCTGGCAAACTAAAAGAGGTATGTGAAGGCATTACCAACAAAGTTGTACAGCTAAATATTAAAATTGAACTCTTTTCACTGTTTACTTAAGAGAAGTCTAGCTGTAACTGTTTTTGTTGGGCGCAAAACTGACAGTAAGCATTGTTCACTGTGATTGTGAATGGGATGTTGTCCCTGATGTCATATGCTTTAGTTTTTCTAAAGCAGCTTAAGACAAGTGCTGGTTTCAAACACTGGAACGGTGGTTTTGCTTCAAAGAGTTTCGAAAGCAAAGGCCTCCCTGAAAAGCAACAAGAGAGGGGCTTCTGGAATAAGCTTTGAGGTTATAAAGAAGCTAACAATGTGTCTTTATGTAAAGGTTGATAATTCATATTAACTTTCCATCTAAAAATCTGTAATCCAGATTATTTTATGAAAATATCATTATATTCACTGGAATGATGGAGGGTGTTTTGTGAGATAGTTTCCATCATTGTGTTTTGGTTTATTAATTTGCACGTGTGGTGAAACAAAAGTAGTTTTTGCAAATTTAAACAGTCACTTTCAGGTCGCAATGGGAATCTTAACATTTTAAGCTAATGACAGTTTGATGAATGCCTTAACTACGAACATACTGGTACAAGCTTATATGATGCTGACTTTCATGCAGCATGGTTCTTCTAACAGCTACTAGTGCTAAAGTACCAATTTTGCTTATTGTCTAGGAGTCTATTTTGATGTCTTACTGGCATCTGTTTGAATCTCTGTCTGGTTATATTGTCTCATTTAGATTGTGTAATTGCTGTATCATATATTATATGGTAGCCTTTATGTTGGAAATTTGTTTATTTTCTCCTTGCGGGTTTCATCTAACCTAATTTTTGTTCCCTTTGATATTGTGATTTCTCAATTGTAGTATGTGCTTGAGGAACTCAACATCAAGTCATTGGTCCCTTGTAATGATACTTTGAAGTATGCTTCTTTACGTGCAGAACCTGATTTTAGGTAATTAATTTTCTGTGCTGAAAGGCTTTTCTTTTTTGGACCTTTGGTAATTTTAGTTTGTGACGATTGTGTTTTTTTTTCCTTAGTGTATTAGGGAAAAGGCTTGGAAAGTCAATGGGAGTTGTTGCAAAAGAGGTTAAGGCCATGTCCACGGATGATATATTGGCTTTTGAAAAGGCTGGAGAAATAACTATTGCTACTTTCTCTCTAAAGCTTAGTGATATTAAGGTTTGTAGCTGGGTTGGCAAAGTTGCTATGACTTTTTTGTTGTTTGAATGTGAAATTCTTCATTGAGCTATATAACATTCTCTTCATCTTGATAAATACTGTCACTTTTGGGAATCCAATTTTTTATTAACACTCAGAAGATTTTTAGCTTCTTGTGCTGTATTTCTCAAGGCTACTCCTGCATGAACTTAGTTTTAGAAATTTAGAAAAATTGGTGTAAAAGAGGCAGGTTTTATAATTGCAAACCTTGATTATTGAGTGCTATGTATTTGGGTTTAGGTGATAGACATGCTGCGCGAACTCAGTACAAGAGAATGGCAGGCTGAAAGTTGAAAATCTGTAGATCACACATATTTTTCCTTTTCCTGTACAGCTAGATCAGATGCAATTTCTTGAGTGATTATAATTTTGGGGAAACTTCTGGAATGAATGCTTTATTTGTATTTTAAAATACTTGGTTAAATCATATATTTTTCGGGTTGTTTGAAAGGCTTTTATTTTTTCTTTTGGACTCCATTTAATTCTTGGATACTGTTTATTTAAGTATCTTTGGCTTTAGTTACCTGTGCTGGAATTTGACTAATGTTTCACCATTTACACTTTTGAAGAGAATTTTCATTGACTACCTTACTTGCCTAAACTTGCAGATCTCTCGTGGTTTCAGACGTCCTGACAATATTAGTGATAAGGACATGGATGCCGCTGGAGATGGTAGATTATTTGTAAAATTATCCCCCTCCCCCATTTATATTCCTTTTCATGTAATGATGAAAATGAAACTTTCTCACTTGTAATTGCAGGTGATGTTTTGGTGGTGTTGGATTTACGTCAGGACGAATCACTGTTTGAAGCTGGTGTAGCTCGTGAGGTGCTTTGTGGACTAATATAATCTGCTCTTGGCACACACACGTTCACACTCGGAGAGGGTGGGGGGGGGTTTGGGGGGCATCTTACTAGACTTCTTGTTGCTGCATTGGTATTCCTCTTTGGTTTTTTGTGCCAGTTCATATTTGTGATTACTGGTGTTTTATGCATCACTTTTTGAAGGTTGTCAATAGAATCCAGAAATTGCGGAAGAAAGCTGGGCTTGAACCTACAGACACTGTTGAAGTATACTTTGAATCATTGGATGAGGACAAGTCAATTTCTCAACAAATTCTTGAGGCTCAGGTGATTTTTCAGAGTTTTCTTCCACCAACTGGTTTTGATGCATATCTTTATGTATGTTTAAACAATAAGGTTATGAGGTGGAGGGAAATGAACTAGCAGCCTTGCTGCCAGTTTTTTTTTTGTCGCGCTAACAACTTATACCTTAGTAACCACGGACCTGAATTTTGGGCAATCCTCTCTCTCTCCCTCTTTCTGTCCTCCCCCCCCCCCCCCCCCCCCTCCCCCAAAAAAAAAAACATGTATCTAGCTACCTACTGATGTCTCTATAAACCAATCTCTTCACATTTTATTTGCAAACACTGGCATATGGTGATTACAATGTGATTTAGGGTTCTGTCCTCTGCTGCTTGTGTTTCCACTGCTTTAGGTTGGGTGAATGTGTTTTGGTACAGTTGTTTATATTATTTGGGAAATTGTATGCATTTGCTCTCGAGTTGCATGTCATAACAAGTTAATCAAATACCTTTTACAGGAGGCAAATATCAGGGATGCGCTTGGGTGTCCTTTGCTACCTTCCACCTTAATCCCACCACATGCTGTAAGTTGTTTTCAGCCCCTGATATTATTTTTCTTATTACATTGGTTGGAGTATTCCAATAGCACAAGTTTCCGTTTCTTTTAGTAGGCTAATGATGTTTCCTGATGTCCTTCTGGGGTATCTTTAGATATCATCCAATGAAGCATTCTCAAGTAAATAGTGACCCATGCATTCATTTCCTGTTCTTTAAAGAGGGCGTCAGAGTTTCGCTTTCCTCTGGTCGGTTATATTCTCAAACAGGATAATATGACTTTGCAGGTTATTCTTGCTGAAGAGAAGTTCTATGGAATCTCGAATCTCTCGTTTGCAGTCAGATTGGCAAGACCATCTCTAGTATTTGTCCCGGATGCCATTGTCTCTTTATATGCAGGTGCATTTTTAGGGTTATAATGTACTTGTACAGGTAATTTTGATTGAAGATTATGGGTTTTTATTCCGTTGCGAATTCATTTTTGCAGGAAATTTGAAGTTTGCGCAAGGTTTACAGGCTTATTTGTTAATGAGAGATCTATTGAACTTAAAGTCCGAATTTCAACTTGGAAATGGGAAGGTAGGTTTTCTTCACCCTCTCTGACCATCTGCTTCAACAAGTCAGTGGAATTGCTAATTCGCCTAATCTGTGCCAATATTATCTGCCTTCCCCAGATTCAAGTCACTTGCATTGAAAATCAGCCGCCAGTGGAAGTGGTGCTAAGAGAACACGTCTACTTGAGCGTTGGAGATTACTTTTTGGGCCCAAAAGCTTCACGATCGAACTGATTGTTTGTACTGTTTTATTTTTTTCCCCCATTCTTCTTTCTTCTTTTTCCCCATCCTCTTAGTTGTATGGGTCAGACAAGGAAACCTGGAGGCTGCCAAAGCAAGATAGAGGTGCCTAATATGTGTTATTGTTTGTATACGAAATGAAATTTTGGAAAGCAAAATGAAAGAAATTCTATAGTTGTAGCAAGACCGCTTTTTTCATTCTTAAATTTGGTCGTTTCAGTCATAATGTAGGGAACAAAGGTCCAAGACTCTTTGCCATACAACGCCTATCAATGGAAGAATCAACTGGGATGATATTACTATGTATCAAGAATTCTTTTTCATCAGTATCGCCATCAAAATACGACACCTTCAGTTGTTACAACCAATTTGTATTCTCTATCTATTCCAGAACTCATTAAATTTTGAAATTTCAGATTCACCAAGTGTTTGCAGTAATCTGGAACAGCTTTAATCTTCTTTAATAGTTCTTTTACAGTGTGACTGATGATTGACACCGCCTGATAGATACATGCCATTGTTATGTGTTGTTGCCCTGGCAGAAGCCTTAGGCTCCGACGTGGTTGAAGCTATAAGGATGATGCTGGAAGAAATCCATCACTGAGGGGTGGTCATGTCTTGCCTGTGAGATCATAATTGAAAGTGCCCGGCGCGGCCAAAGGAGGTTTTGATTTAATGACTGATATTGTGACTTTGTGATTAAAATTGAGGTCTTAAAAATTAGAGATCTACTGTAAACAAGATTATATTAAGAAGAAACAAAAAAAAAAAAAATGCCTGGTCAAAATGAGTGCTCACGAGTGACGCTTTTGTTATTATTTTTTTTAAATCCTCATGGTCCTCTTCCCTTCATTTCAGCATACTTCATAAAGTAGTAATATGAAATCTAATTTAAAAAGAAAAATAAAAGAAGATATTAAAAATGAAAATAGTAGAAGTTATTGAAGTAATAAAAGTTAATGGAAGTCAATGAAATTTAATTACTACCAATAATTTGTTTGTAGTGGTTAAGTGTAAATTCTTACTTATATGAGAGTAACGTTATAACAAAAATATTTTAACACTAAAGATCATGCTTCATGCTTTATATATAGATTAGGATAGATATATTATAGAACAAATTACTCTACTACATCAAATTCATCGTGTCTTGGAACTAGGGTTACAAACGAGGTGAGTCGAGTCTAGTTTTGACCTCATCGAGTCAAACTTTGATTTAGTTTTATCAAGTTTGAATTCGAGATCGAACTCAACGAGCTGTCAATTTAAAGTTCGAGCTCGAACTCAACCCAAATTTGAGTCGAACTTGAGCTCGAAAAATAAAAAATAATTATTTTATTTTTTTAAAAAATAAATAAAATAATAATTTTTAATAAATAATAAAATATTAGAAATATATATATATATATATATATGTAATTTTACTAATAAAATTATATATATATATACTCAAACTTGCGAGTTAACGAATTTAATATTTTTGAGTTCGAACTCGAGTTGAGTTTTGACTCGAGTCGCTCGTGAGCAGTTCAATTCGTTTCCAGCATTACATGGAACAAATTACTCTACTAAATGAATTTCATCATGTCATGTCAAAAAAATAAGTATTGTTGAAAGAATATCATATCAAATAAGTGATTTTAAAGAGTTACTCTTGAAATCAACTATGACAAATGTACATTACATGCTCTATTTAGCTACATGACTCTTTTTTTAAACTTTAGTTACATGACTCTTGTGCGTAGTACCTCAACATAATATTGACATTTGTTAATGACTAAATTGGATTTTGGTCGAACCTTTAAAGACCATTTTGTTCATACTATTTTTTGGAAACATATTTGGAAGCCACACAAATACTATACATAAAGTTTGGGAGTAAAACTGCAATTTTTCTTCTCACAAATTTCCCCAATCTGTCTACACTACACTCCAGAGTACCTCATGTGACTCAAATGGATAACGCCCAGCAAATTTAATCACTGAACAAAGTTATTGAGCTTTATTCTCAACTGCCTCAACAACAATGGGAGCGCTGAGTTTTGGTTTTTCACCTCTGAATGCTGTCACTACCTCCAGCAAACAACAAACTTTGAAGAACTTGGGCACAGCCCATTTCTTCAACTCTACAAATATGCCTTCTTTCAACTTCAGAACCCAGCAAAACGTCCGTTTATGCTCAAACTCTCACTCCCACCTCACCAGAATCAAGTTTTTTTTTTCTGTAATTTTTTTGTAGATGTGAATATATTGATTGTAGTTTTTGTTGGCAGTGCAGGGGTGGCATAAGAATGCAAGTTGTTGAAGAAGAGTATGAGGTGCAGCAAGCAAAAGATATGGCTGCTGCAAAAAAAAGATGGGAGGCCATGGTATTTTACTGCCATAAATTTTATAACGCTTTGATTTAGTATTTTCTTGCAGGTGTTTATGTAATTTCGTTTCTTGGATTTGAATTTTGCTTGGTAATTTTTGCTTAATTTCAGCATTCAAGTAGTTGGTTTGTGTGGATTGCAACTGAATTTTTAATTCTGTACTGGTGTTTGAGAGTCATTGGTTAGTTGAGTGGTTTAAGTATGTTTCTTCCTTAATTTTTAATTTTTAATATTGCCAATCGAACTGAAATATGATAATAAATGGTTCAAAAAATAAGCCATTTTTGAATCTCATCTTTTGACAACTTAGAAACTTATAAGGTGACCCAAAAGTCAAGGACACCTCAAAGGGCTTAAGTGGTTAGAGGTCTGATATCTTAGTCCATGCTATACTCTTTTGACTTCAGGTGTAGAAATTGAGTGCTGATTATAACCAACATGATATGGTTAGTGATCATTTGCATCCTTCAATCATGGAAGTTATTTTTGTGGGCCTTAGCTTTATACTCTAGTATTTAGGCTATGGGTACCTTTTTGTTTCATTCTTCTTAACTTCTACTTATGTGGCATTGACTTGTTTTATCACAGATAAGGGATGGGAAAGTAAAATTTCTCACACCTAGGGAAGCTGGATATGCTATTCAACTCTCAAATAAAGTTCTACTCGATGTCCGTCCATCTACAGAGCGTAAAAAGGTAGCTTTATTTTCCTTTAAATCAAATTTTGTGATTAGATTAGACAGGTACCTCGATTTGGCTCATCTGTCCTGGATACTGAGTCTTCAACAAGTTGCTGTGTCATAGTTATTCTTGAGTATGGTCTTTTAATGATCTAGTTTGAATGTGGTTGATGTGATGATTTGACGACTGTAATTGAATGACATTCCTGGTTACTGATGTGTTAATTAGTAGAGTTGCCCCATTTTTTTTAAGGTAAAAACATTCTATTGATTCTCCTTTTAGGAGGGTATGGGGTACCGGTTAGTATGGGCCTACTTCCATGTCTCATTTCTTATCCAGTTACCTCGATTAAACTGCTGTTTTGAAGGCATGGGTTAAAGGCTCAACATGGATTCCATTATTTGATGTTGAAAACAGTATTGATGCTGTTAATCTTTCCAGGAAGATGACAAATTTCATGATGGGTATGCACTGTCCTATTACATTGCCTCAATATCATATTCAGCTTACACCATTTGCATGTTTCATAAGGTGATACAAATGGTTCAATGATATAATGAAAGATGAGGACAAAAATAGCTATATTGTAACTCAAACAAGATTGTTTGTTCTTGAAATAAAAAAATTTGATGTGTTCAATATTATTAAGGAAAAAAATTCAAGAAATATCTCAAATCTTTAATGTAACTATTGATAAGTGTGAGCATTTTATACCATGTAGGTGGCTGGTGGAGTGGTGTGCCAGCATTAGCGTATGACAAGTAAGCTGCTTAATTGTTCTCGTTCCAAATAAATATCAGTATCCAACAACTCTTTGGTGTATTGTGTTCTGTTCATTCACCATTTCATTTTCTTGACAGCAAATTTTTATCAAAAGTTCAGGAGAAATTTCCGAAAGATAGTGATCTTATAGTGGCCTGTCAGAAAGGTTTGAGGTGAATTTCATTTTTAATTTCTGTTAGTGTAAATCCAGTTTTCAAATGATTGCACATCATCCTCTGATTCATCGTCCACTCAATACACATTAATAGATATGTAGTGTATTCAGTGCCTCTTGTGTCTGTAGTAGACTTGGTAGAATTGCTACATAATCATAGATAGATGAATCTTTAGTATCCCAATGTCCAGAAACACCAAGGCTTTAGGGGTGTGTGTCAGTATCTACTCCTTTTTTTTTCACTGTCAGCTCACATTTGCTCAACTCTGTATATTGCAAGAGAAGAAAAAAGTCAAAATATATGTACCAAATTACAGAAAACTGATAGAGGATGAACTATTACCATTGCACCCTGTCGTGAAAGTCGTGGACCAACTTTGTGCTTCATTAAAAAAATTTTGGAAAAAAAGAGCATAAACAAGGATATTTTAGAGTTGTGTTGAGGGCTGGAAAATTAGTTTAGATTTCTCATTAAACAACTCTATTTATAGAGAGTGCAAGAAACAACTCGACACAAATTTCTCCTAACAAATCCCGACATACGACACAAATATCTCCTAACAAATCTCCACATAATATTTAGAACTCAATCAAACTTGAACTAGTCAAACACAATAAATGTGGAACTATTCTAACAATTAGACTTATTCAACAATTACTTTCTTTTATTCCATTGCTAAAAAATTTGCAGAGAAGTTGCATATCTTAACAAAATAATTTACCTGCTGTCTTTTCTGATCAAAACATTTGGTCAAAATATTTGTCTAAATAGCTGATTCATAGTTCTTATTCTTTCTTAGTAATTAAGTTCTAATTAGTATGCATATATTGTAGATACCATGAGCTTTTACAGTCAGCTCACAATTGCTCAATTCTCTTCATTTTTCACTGAAAGAAGTTAGAAATATATTTATCCAGTGCAGAAAACTCATAGGGGATGAGCTATTACTGTAATGTGCGTGGTCTAGATTTTTTTCTCCGAGGAAGCTTACCCAACTGTTGGAAAAATCTGTCAAACCAGAATGACTGGGTTCCAGAATTGGAGGCTGGGAGCTAATATTGAAAATTGGATGTGTGGTGGTGAATGTAAGGGACTATCTCATCTATACCCCCATCTGCTATCACCCTTTCGTGAACAACGATTACATAGTAGGACATGAGTTTAAAGGGAATAAGGTGCTAGAAATACGTATTCTGGATGGGGCTTCCACTTGGTTTTAAGTGACCAAAAGATGAAGTTTTATGAATTTGGCAAGTTGCAGCCCAATTTTGAATTTTGAGTTGTGGTGGTGAATGTGAAGCGTGGGTCAGTCTGACTTCTCCCTTGATATACTATCACCTCTTGAAGAAAGACATTTAGATTGTATAAATTTAAAGG